ACACACATTATTTTCAAGCCGCCAGGTTCAGAACTTGAGCTGGCAGTAGGCCATTTGAGATTCAGTCACCTTAACCATCACACCATCTGCTAGCCCCAACATTTACCCTTTTTTTAAGAAAAAATGTACCCAGTCTAAAATTTCTTTAAAATCTTAGAACACAGCTGCTAATTCACCTTTAATCCACCACACTAATCTCAAACTCATGACTGCCTAGGCATATTAATCTGCATTATTCGTTATTTGAGCTTGGCCTTTTTAACCAGGGAAGACATGAATTCTAGCAGCCTACAGGTGGAATGTCAGGAGTCTTTTCTTGTTATATATATTCCATAGGAAGAGAAGCTGTGGCTTAAAAATCTAGTCTTACTGTTTTTCTTGTTACTGACTACCTTGCAGTTATTTTGGGAACCATTAAACTAGTCTCAGTTCAGTCATCTGGAAACTAAAGGAGAAGCTTTCTTTCTTTTTTTTTGGAGAGGTTTTTGCTACAGGGATCATGCACTCCCCAAGAGAGCCAGACAGACAGAAAGCTAGAAATCACCCCCCAGGGGGGATGGCCACATGGCAATCCCTTCTCCTCCATTTTCCTCTTGGGATCTGGCACACATGCACACTCGCCCAGTGTGAGTTTAAGCCACCAGGTCTGGGACTCAAACCGCGTTGGACTTCATGGGAGTCCAGTGACATAGCCATTACGCTAACTGCTGGTCCCGAAATGGCTAATTTCAAAATAGCCACCATAGGGAACCAGCAGTTAGCATAATGGTTATGTCGCTGGACTCCCACGTAGTCGACTGTGGTTTGCGTCCTGGACCCAGTGGCTTAAAACTCACGCCAGGCGCGTGTGCATGCGTGCCCAAGATCCTGAGAGGAGAATGGAGGAGAAGGGATTGCGGTGTGACCATCCCCTCTGGGGGGTGATTTCTCACTTTCTGTCTCTATGTCTCTGTCTGTCTGTCTGGCGAGCGCACACACCCTATAGCGAAAACCTCTCCAAAAAAAAAATAGCCACCATACAGTCAAACAGCAGAGAACAGTGAAAAAGAAGAACCCAGAGTTCAAACCTAACCATTAAATCTCTTTGCAATTTAAAAGCAAGTCATTTAGATTTCTTTATAAATGAAGATGATAATAATTGGCTCTGTATCACAAAATGTTGTAAGGAAAAATAATTTGAGCTCCCTAAGAGAAAAATAATATTGAAATATGAAGCATTTATATAAATTGCTGTAAAAAGCCTTAGAACCTACAGCAACAACTTGAATATTCAACATGAATTAAACATTTTACTTCAACAAGCCTGATTATTAAAATCACTGATTAATGAGCTATTTGATAGAATGTACTATTTCACCTGGATCCTTTCCAAAGATTGTTACACATCTAAAAAGTCTTCGCAGCAATCTCAGCTTCAAGATGGAAGTAGCTCCCTATTTTTTAAAAAATTATTTATTTATTTTTATTTATTCATTCATTTATTTTTAATTTGACCAGAGAGAGACAGAGATAGAGAGAGAGAAAGGGAAAGTGAGAAAGTAAGCCACCAGGTCCGGGGACTTGAACACTGGTCAGGCATGTGGAAGTGTCCAGCGCCTTAACCACCACGCCACCTGCTGGTCCCAGTAGCTCCCTATTAACTGTCCCTAAATATCTACCAACTTACTCCTCAAAGTAGGGCAAGGGTAATACTGCAGGCGTTGATGGGCCCCCTTTGTTCTTGTATTCCAAAAATCGAACGCTCTCATCACCTGCCATTTTATCATAGAGTAGCAAAAATTAATGGTCCCAGCTAGATCCACGTATGTATGATCATTTGTATTTCCCCATTCTAAACTGTCTCTGACTTTCTTATATTCAGTTTTTATGTAGCTTGAAATTTCCAAGATAAATACCTCTAAACTATTTTTTTTTTTCATTTTTTATTTTTTAATTTTTACCACAGGGTGCATGTGCTCTCACCAGAGAGAGAGAAGGGAGGGGAGTGAGAAATAACCCGGCAGGAAGGATGGCCATGCTGCAATTCCTTCTTCTCCATTCTCGTCTCAGGATTTTGTGCACACATGCACATGCCTGGCATGTTTTTCAAGCCGTAGGGTTGGAACTTGAAATTCACAGTTAGCCATGTGGGATCTAGTCATATTAGCCACCACACCATTTGCAGGTTCCTAAACTACTTTTTAACGAGATCATACATTTGGTTTCCTATGACTCAATTGATCATTTCATGGCTGGCCACAGTCTCTGTAGAAAAGGTTTCTGAGCCTGGTATCCATGTTCTTGCAGTCCCAGCTACTCCAGAAGGCTGGGGCAGGAATATCATGAACTCAAGGCAAGCCTGAGTAACATAATGAGAGAGAAAGGGGGAAGGAAATAAGGAAAAGAGAAAGAAAGAAGAGAGGAAAAGGAGAAGGGGGGAAGACAGAAAAGAAAAAATTGAGAGTGTTCGATGAGAGTGGGGGAGAGCTAGTTGAAGCACTCTGCCTCATCTCCCACATGCCCCATCCTGTCTGTGCTCTCCACGTCCCCAGACTCTCCTGTGTTTGGAGGCTTATGATTAGTACCTATCCTGCTGGCCTCCTTTCCCACACCAGCAGGGTCCTTGCAGCCCTGACTCCCTGATAACCTGGGGGAGTGCAGATTGGGGAAGAAAGGGAAACATGAGTGCAGAGCTGAGGCCTAAGCATTAGCCCAGGCAGGAGTCCCAGCAGGGCACTGAGAGGTGAATCCTTAAAGCCCACTCCTAGTGTTTGCTGTGCAGGCCGGGGTGGGGGCTTTTCCCTTATTCAAGGTCCAGGTGTTGTCTGTCATGGAGGCTAAACATTAAGGTGCTGCCTGACCTTTTGCCAGTCTTCTTGGAAAAATCAAGCCCATAGAAAGAAGCTATGTCTGGCTTACCTCACCTCTTATCTTACTATTATCATTATTGCCAGAAGGCACATATGCTTGTGAGAGAGAGAGAGAGAAAGAGAAATCACTGCCCCCCATGGGGCATAGTCATACCTCAATCCTTTTCCCTCCATTTCCCCATCCCATAGGGATTTGGGGTACACAAAATCTGCCACCAGGGTCAGGATTCAGACTGTGGTTGGCCACGGATCCAGTTTCCTATGCAAAGGGCTTAACTGCTGTGCTATGGGGCTAGCCCAACTTCCCTCATCTTTAGAGTGACAGTTCAAAGCCTGCAGCTGCCTCCCCCAGGAATCCTGGAGGCTGAGAATTACTTGCCAGTCAGATTGGCTCCGGGAAGTAAAGACACATGTACAAGCATAATTTGGGATAGATTCAGACTTCTTAGTTCTCTGGCAATAACAATCTTCATTCTCCCTCCCCCTTAGAATAACTTGTGAATGTATTATTAGTCTCTTGAAATTCTGACTTGATAAAAATTTGGAAAAGTATGCTGGTATGTTCCAATTATATTGGAAAGGAACTGCTTGTGTTGTTTCATTCTCAACATATTTCATGAATCACTGAAGCCTAGAAGAGTTAATTGAGCATATTTTCCCCTCAGATTTCTAAAAGAATGCCTCGTGAAAGAAAAAGAAATTCTGCTTAAAATTAGGGAACCAGAAAGTACCTAGGTTTTAGAGACCTTTGAAAGAAATTCTTGATAAGGTAGTAAGACATTACAGGGGGGGAAAAAAGAAGGAAAAAGGGGTGGAAGGACACAATACAGTCTCCTCCTCACAGTGGAGTAACTTAAGATGTATGAGACCTGCATCATTGAGAATCCCTGTGGATTCCACCGAACTGAGCACAAAGGGTTGCCTCCTACTCAGGGTCTGCATGAATGTGGGCTGGTTCTTAGACCACCAAACAAAGGAGCCAGGTTATCCCACAAAAGAGTCATTTGTAAATAGAGGTTGATTTCCTGTACTGCCTAGTGCTCACGGTGCCAAATAACTGGACCCCCAAGCTGAGTCTTGGCTCGGAGTTGATCCATGTTTTCTTTGACCACACTGACCCACCTTGTTGTTTATACAAGCCATCTTATCTAGTGGTGTTGAGTCACAATTGTATTTATTGCCTACACCTGCTTATTCCAAGCAGCTTCTGTGTTCCCACCCTGAGAACAGGGTTCTCTGACGTGAGAAAGTGTGAATGTTATAGTACAGATCACCTAAGCCAATAAATGAGCCCCAAGATCGTCAGCATTGTAACGGCCAGACATTTTTGTGTATCTTCTTTATCCTTTTTCTAAGTTGTTTTTTTTGTTTTTTGTTTTTTGGTTTTTGTTTTTTTGTTTTTAGATTTTTGCCATAGGGGACACTTGCACTCACTAGAGAAAAAGATAGAGAAGGAAAGTGAGAAGTCATCCCCCAGGGGAGATGCCCACACCACAGTCCCTTCTCCTCCAGTCTCCTCTCAGGATTGGACATGTATGCACACTCACCTGGCAGGTTTTTCAAGCTGCCAGGTCTGGGAATCCAACCTCAGAGCTGACCATATGGGATCCAGTGCCCTAACCACCACACCACCCGCTGTCCCCATCTTTTTAAATTTTAATAAAACTTTCATTTTGAAAACTAGTAGAGAATGTTTTCATAAGCTTTGATCATTTCCTATTAAACCAGTACTTTAAAACACCAGTATAGGGACCAGCAGTTGGTGTAATGGCTATGTCACTGGACTCCCATGTAGTCAACTGCAGTTTGAATCCCGGACCCAGTGTCTTAAACTCAAGCCAGGCGTGTGAGCGTGCGTGCCAAAGATCCTGAGAGGAGATTGGAGGAGAAGGGATTGCGGCGTGGCCATTACACCTGGGGGATGATTTCTCGTTTTCTGTTTCTCTCTGTCTTTCTGGTGAGCGTACGTGCCCTATAGCAAACTAAAACAATGCAAAACTTACGTGCCCCTAAACAAAAACCCTCCAAAAAAAAAAAAAAAAAACAAATATAAGTTTAATGCCCAGTAAAATTTAACCTACAGTTGTAATACAGTCTCTATTGATTGGTCTTCTTATATTCTGAATTATTTTAATATCTGCTTGATTGCAGGAAATCTTCACCGAACCAGCAGTGTTCCTGAGTATGTCTACAACTTACACTTGGTTGAAAATGATTTCGCTGGAGGGCGTTCCCCCATTACTAAAACTTATGACATGCAAAAGGTAGGATGTCAAAGAATATAATTCTAGTTATCAGATTACCATGAAAACAATTTCAAACTTTCTTTTTCCTTTTCTTTTGTTTTCTTTTTTTCTTTCTTTCTTTCTTTTCTTTTCTTTCTTTCTTGCTTTAGAGTGTGTGCCCTTGAGGGGGATGGAGTAAGAAGTCATCCCACAGAGGGGATGGGCACACCACAGTGCTGTCTCCTCCAGACTGCTTTTGGGATTTTGGGCACACAAGCACACATACCTGGTGTGATTTCCAAGTCTCCGGGTCCAGGACTCAAAGAGTGCAGTCTGCTATGTAAGATAAAACACCTTAAGCTCCATGCCACCTGCTGGCCCCTGGATTGTTTTTCAGTGTTTACCTTTCCTGAGTATTATGATTTCCTAAATACATTTTGAAAGATTCATTTTGTGTGGACACCATAGAAAACTGGGGACTTTAAACAGAATTAAGTCCTAGTGCAAATAATTGTGACTCAGGTCGGTCAGGTCCTGTTTTAAAAAACGGGTAGAGGACCAGCAGTTAGCGTAATGGCTATGTTGCTGGATTCCCATGTAGTCTACTGCGGTTTGCATCCCGGACCCAGTGGCCTGAAACTCACGCCGGGCGCGTGTGCATGCGTGCCCAAGATCCCGAGAGGAGAATGGAGCAGAAGGGATTGCAGCGTGACCATCCCCCTCGGGGGGTGATTTCTCGCTTTCTGTCTCTCTGTCTCTCTCTGTCTGTCTGGCAAGTGCACGCGCCCTATAGCGAAAATCTCTCAAAAAAAAAAAAAATGGTAAAATTCTCCATCTGAGTCAGAGAAAGGGACCCCTGTAATGGTCTTCCAGGAAGGTGGAACCGACCTCGTTCCTCCTGTAAGCGTTATTTCTGTCTGCAGGCTGGCACGGTCGCCTATGAGAGCCGCTGGGGGAGAGGGCCGGCGCAGTACAGCTCGCAGAAGTCGGTGGAGGAGCGGACGTTCCGGTCCCGCCAGCCTCTCCGGAGGCTGGAGATCTCCCCCGACAGCAGCCCCGAGAGGGTCCATTACGCGCACAGCGAGTACCACTACAGCCAGCGAGGCCAGGCGGGGCACACGCTGCGGCGCCAAGAGAGCAGGCGGTCCACCCTCCTCGCGCCACCGCGGTACGCGCGCTCGGAAATCGTGGGCTTCCAGCGGGGCGGCGAGCCGGCAGCGCCACTATGACACTTACCACAGGCAGTACCAGTACGCGGTGAACGACGCGGCCTTTGACGGCGTCCCTGTCAACCCCGCCCTGCTCACGTACCCGCGGCCGGGGACCAGTCACAGCATGGGCAACCTGCTGGAAAAAGAGAACTACATGAGTTCGGGGCCTGTGGCCGGGCAGGTCAGGCCCCTGGTGCCCTTGCAGCCAGTCAGCCAGAACCGGGCCGCCAGGGCCTCCTGGCACCAGAGCTCCTTCCACAGCACGTGCACGATGCGGGAGGCCGGGCCCAGTGGCACTCTGGACGCCGGCGCCAGGAGGGCGCACATGACTGTGGGCCAGGTGGCCGCGGGGGCAAGCGGGAATCTGCTGGTGGAGAGGAACGCCTTCGCCGACAGCCAGCTCGGGTGAGTCCCCTTCCCAAGCTGCACCCAGCCGGTGCCAGCACATTCTGTTCCCGCAGCCCTGACAGCGTGAGCAGGCTGCTGGCTCTGGCGAGAGCAACTCTGTCCCAGAGATAAGCGATTAAAATAATGACTTTTCAGGCAGCTGCCTAATTGACAGGTCTGCCTATTTACCTTTGGGCGGGGGCCAAGCTACCTGCTCAGGTGGCAGCTTTGCAGTGAGGTGGGATGTTCAGTCGTCTATTCGGGTCTGAATGCTGGCTGAAGGCATCCCACCCCGGCTATAGGACATGGGCGCTGAAGCAGAGCAGGCTCCCAAGTAGACCAAGAAACTGACAATGGAGAGTGCATTTTCTTTCTTTCTTTCTTTCCTTCCTTCCTTTCTTTCTTTCTTTCTTTTTTAGAATTATCCAATTTAACTTTTATTTATTTATTCATTTATTCTAACTTGGCCAGGGGGGTGGGGGATTTATTTATTCATTTATTCTAACTTGGCCAGAGAGGGAGGGGGGGGGGAAGGTGAGAAAGCAAGCTGCCATGTCTGGGACTCAAACTGCAGTAGGCCATGTGGGAGTCTAGTACCCCCCAACCACCACGCCACCTGCCCACCCAAGAGTGCATTTTCTTAATTATTCCTTGAAATGAAGGGTAAGACACAATGCGTATTCCTGGTGCTCAGCATGAACCTCAAATACTTTAGGAACCAGCAGGTGTTGTAATGGCTAGGTTGGTGGACTCCTATGTAGTGGACCACACCTCACGTCTGGGACCTAGTGACTTAAACTCAGACCAGGTATATGTGTGTGTGTGTGTGTGGGTTCCCAAAATCCCGAGAGGAGAATGGAGAAGGGATTGCAGTGTGGCCATCTCCCCTGGGCGTGATTTCTTGCTTTTTGTCTCTCTGACTCTCTCCAGAGAGTATACACACCCTATAGCAAAAATCTCTCTAAAAAAAGTTTATTTATTTTTTCCATGAGTGAGTGAAACCAAGAGGCAGGTACCCCTACAAGGTCCTCACACTGTGATACACCCTCAGTCCCAGCCAGCTCGGATCATGGACAGTGTGTATGTGCCTGGTGTGTACAGAGAAGCCTCAGGATATGAACCCAGAATCTTCTCATTGGGGCTAGCATCGCAGAATATTGTTTTACTGCTGTGCCACTACTGCTGGCTTCAAATGCTGTTTTGGTAGCTACTACTGTAAGAAGTAGGCAGCTGATTTCTCTTTTTTTTTCTTTTTCGGAGAGGTTTTTTGCTACAGGGTGTGTGCACTCGCCAGAAAGACACAGAGAGACAGAGAAACAGAAAGCAAGAAATCCCCCCCCAGGGGGGATGGTCACGCCGCAATCCGTTCTCCTCCATTCTCATCTCAGGACCTTGGACACTCATGCACACATGCCCGACGTGAGTTTAAGCCACTGGGTCTGGGACTCGAACGGCAGTTGACTACATGGGAGTCCAGTGACATAGCCATTACGCTAACTGCTGGTCCCCTGGCAGCTGATATTTTTAGATATCTCTTTTCTTTCTTTGATACTTGATACATTTTCTTTTCCTTTTTATTTTTCGTTCTTATTGTTTTAGTTTTTGCTATAGTAGTGTGTGCTCCGCAGAGAGAAAAAGAGAGAGGGAGATAGGAAGTGAGAAATCGCCCAATCCCTTCTCCTCCATTTTCCTCTCAGGATCTTGGGCACACACACACACACACACACACACACAAATATCCAGAGTGAGTTTCAAGCCAGAAGGTAAAGTCTAGGACTTGAACCTGCACAGTCAACCATGTGGAATAGAGTGCCTTCATTCCAATGCCACCTGCAGGTTCAATATCTTTACTCTTTGATCAGTGACTTGTGGGCATTTTTGACAATACTGAATAATAAAAATAATTGCATTTTCAAAGTTATTCCTTTACTTTTCCTATTTTCTTTGTGGCCTGACTAATGTAGATTTTGGAACTTAGCTTTCATTTAGGTTTAATGCTTGAGCACAAATTTTGTAAGCTGAGGAAGATTCTGAAAGAAAAGTAGATAAATGGAGGGATGATTAGATCAGTAACTCCTGAAATACTAATCTAATAACATTAGAGTGAAACATTGGATGTGTGATTGATGTTTGATTGCTAAAGCTGCTTAATGGTAGTTGTTTCCTTTGATCACCTTTTAAAATAAAATTGTACAATTTACCCATTGACTAGGTAACCACTTTTCCAAAAGATGTTAGGGAACTAGCCAGATGGCACAGGCAATGGGGCGCTGCTCTGCAATGCCGGAGTCCATGTGGGAAGGCTTTGGGTTCATGTCCTGGGTCTTCTTCAGCACACGGGGCTCGCCCACAGCATGCCTGTGATCCTAGCTGCCTGCAGGGCTAGGGGAGGATCCTCGTGTGAAGACCCTGTCAAGGATGCCTGTTCATCTCTCACTCTTTCAGGAATTAAACAAACTTGAAAATATATGTATTTTAGGACTTATCTAATCATAAAGGAGAAAATATTTTTAATTAAGCAATGTTTAGTAAGAGATATCTAATCTTTTTTGTAGAAAGTAGATCTTTGGCAATATGAACATACTTATAAAGAGAAAAAGAATACATCAGGTGGGGCCAGTTGATGGCATAATGGTTACATCACTGGACTCCTACATAGTCAGCCATGGTTCAAGTCCCAGACCTGGTGGCTTGAAACTCACGCTGGACATATGTGCATGCGCGCCCCAAATCCCGAGAGGAGAATGGAGGAGAAGGGATTGTGGCATGGCCAGCCCCCCAGGGGGTGATTTCTCTGTCTCTCTGGTAAGCGCACTCGCCTGATAGCAAAAATAAAACTCTATCAAAAAAAAAAAAGAATGCACCAGGTAATTTTTTCTTCCATAAATTGATAAAGATTTTTAAAAAGAGTTATTTATTTATTATTTATTAATTTGACCAGAGAGAGAGAAAATGAGAAAGCAAGCTGCCAGGCCCAGGACTTGACTGGGTCAGCTATGTGAGAGTCAAACGCCTTAACCACCATGCCACCTGCTGGCCCGATAGGAACTTTTAAATAGATAAGTCTTAAGTTTATTGAATGCCTACCTTGGTCTGGGACTTTTAGTAGGCATGATTCTACCAAAAAAATCTTAACTAAAACAAAACTGTCATTCCACATCCTCCAGTAACTGACCTACCTGTTACATTCCCAATGCAGCATATCCTAGAGATTCACCAATTCTCCTACCTACTCCTATCTCCAACTATAGTCCTACCAGTTATAAACCTGAGAGTCATTCTCATATATTCCCTCCATTGTCACATGGCACCAGGCCTTTTTTTTTTTTTTCCTCTGTAAAGGGAGATGTGTGTGTGTGTGTGTGTGTGTTTAAAAAAAAACTGTTTTATTTATGTATTTATTTATTTATTGAGATTTTGCCTTAGAGCACATGCACTTGCCAGAGAACAACAGAGACAGTGAGCGGGAAAGTGAGAAATCACCTGCCCTCCAGGGACAAATGGCCACACCACAATTCCTTCTCCTCTATTCTCCCCCCAAGATCCTTGGTGTGTGTGCACACGAACCCAGTGTGGGTTTCAAGCCACTGGGTCTGGGACTTGAACTGCGGTCAGCCATATGGGAGTCCAAGACTATAACCGCTATACCATCTGCTGGCCCCTATTTATTTATTTAATTTGCTATAGGGCATGAGCACTCCCCAGAGAGAGATAGAAAGAGAGAAAATGAGAAAGCACACCTTGGGTGGGTGGCCACACCATAACTCCTTCTCTGTTCTCCTCCTGGGATTTTGGAAATGCACACACACATGCCCAGTGTGTCTTTCTTTTTTGCCTTTTTTTAAAAAATTTATTTTCTTATTTTAATTTGACCAGAGAAGAACAGAATGAAAGAGAGGAAGAGAGAGAGAGAGAGAGGAGGAAAATGAGAAAGCAAACTGTCAGATCCAGGACTTGAACTGCATTCGACCATGTGGGAGTCCAGCACCCTCAACTACCACACCACCTGCCAACCCCAGCCCAGTGTGTCTTTCAAGCCACCAGGTCTGAGACTTGTACTGCATGGTCAGCCACGTGGGAACCGGCTGTCTTAACCATCAGGCTGCTCGTTGGCCTGCATCTTATATTTTTACTGTTCTCCGCCATCTCCACTGCTCAGTTTCTCTGCTGCTGGTCTTCCTCACTCAGAACTGGTCTCTAGGCCCGTCAGGATGACCTTCACAGATGGTGTCTCTCCCCGGTTTATGACCTTTCCATAATGTTTGCTGAGTGCCTGTGCTTTCTCAGCATGGCACACGAAGTCTCATGTTTTCCCCTTATCATTTCAACCCCTTCTTCCACTTTCTCTCACTGTTCATCACCACCATCCCCAAACACGTGCACACACAAGCACCCAAACCACTTGGAACCTTTTGCAGTTTATTTTTTGTTCTCAAGGTTTATGCCACAGGGCACGTGAACTCGCCAAAGAGAGGCATAGAAAGGAAAAGTGAGAAATTGCCCTCCTGGGGGCATGGCCATGCTGCAGTGCCATCTCTTCCTTCTCTTCCTCGGGTTTGGGGCACTCACATATGTGTCTACCATGACTTTTTTTTTTTTTAAGAATTATTTTAACTTTATTTGCTAATTTATTTATTTATTTTCAATTTGATCAAAGAGGGACAGAGCAAGAGCAAGACAGAGAAAGGGAGAATGAGAAAGCAAGCCGCCAGGTTCAGGACTCGAACCACAGGGCCATGTGGGAGTCCAGCGTCCTCAACCATCACCCCACCTGCCGGCCCAAGCCTGCTGTGATTTTTAAGCACTAGGTCTAGGACTCAAACTGTGGTCATTCGTGTGGGAGTCGAGTGCCTTAACCACCACACCACCTGCTGGCCCCTTGCACTTTTCTTAATGCGAGATAATTTATTTATTCTTCTCCACACACATTTTTATTCTCTTTTTCTTCCTCCTTCCCTCCCTCCCTCTCTCTCCCTCTCTCTCTCTCTCTCTTAACTTCTTCCCTCTTTCCTTCCCTT